GTGATCATAGCGCTATGCATCAGCAGTGCTGCGTCTGACTCCCTGCCAGCTCCCAGATCAGCTTCTGATTGGTTGATGCGGCGCGTCCAGCAGCTGCTGCTTCTGAAGCGCCTCAGATTCTCATGAAGCGCTGTTCCTGCTGTAGGACCTTTGATGCACCTTGATGAAAATGGCTGCTTCTGCTGCTCAAAGTGCGTCCGGTGTGAATGTAGCATTAGCCTCATTTTTCCTTCCTGGCTGCAGATGAGAAACTTTCTACCAGCAGGAAGTCACCATAACTGCAGGATTACCTCACGATCCCGGGTGTGATCCATTGCGAAATACGCCGGCATTCCGGCCGCCAGCATCCCCAGCATGATGGCCTCTATGTAGACCAGAGCGTAGGACGTGATGTCCGGGATTTGCTGCAGGAAGGAAGCGTTCAGTCACGTATTAAAGCCTCAGATCCTCACTCTGCTGGAGACTCACATAATCAAAGGGTTTGGTCCAGGTCCGGATCTGGCCGGTTCCGTTCAGGCCTCTGAGGAGCGCGTTGCTCAGGACGTTGGCGGCCATGGGCAGCGAGTGAACGGTGGTGCTGTTGAAAGCGATGCTGTAGCTGAAACCCTTTGAGACGCAGCAGACAGAGCTCAGTCAGAGGAAACCGTCCTGCATGGAGCTGCCAGAGATCAGACCACAGCTACTCACCTTACTGGACCCGGAGACCTCCACGGCGGCACTGTGCGGCGCCGCAGCCATGTAGTCGGTCTGCTTCATCAACTCCACCTTGATATCCTGGGATTCCAGGTTGTGGATGAAGTCAGAAATATCAGAGTCTGTTGGAGAAAGGAAATAGCATCGTTACCCAACAGTTCAGGCATCTTTGAACTTCAGCCACTCAGCTGGTCGCTCACCGGTCGAGTTCTTGACCAGGAGGCTGGTGACGTATCTGCGAGGCGCCTCGTTCTTCTTCAGCAGGTAGATGGGCTGAAACTCCCGCTCCTGTGAGTGGATCTGGATGTTTCCGCTCACCAGCGACACGACCAGAACCGCAGACAAGAAGAGCAGGAAGAGAACCAGGCTGAAAGACAGGAAAACGCCGTCACTGTCTCTGACCTGAACCAGTCACCGGAGCGTTTCCCGTCAGCACGCCGTCTCCTCACGTGTAAAGGCAGGCCTTCCACTCCCGCCGTACGTTGAGCATGTGCAGCCAGGCCACGGCGCTGAACTGCTGCCTCCACAGAGCGTGACCCGACACCATGTCCGACTTGCTGTGTGAGAAGGTGAGCAGCCGCTGGTCGGTGTCGTCCACAGACAACGCGTCGCCGTCGTCCTCCGCCGGCTCCCGGTGGAACACGCTGTAGTCTGAAAGAAGACGCCGTTTTACTCAGACGAAGCGCTCATGTCTGAAGAACTGCGGCGCCGCTCACTGACCGGCCTGATCCACCTCAGCCTCCGACTCCAGGCGCAGGAAAACATCTTCCAGCGTTGTCATGGAAACGCCGTAGTTCTTAATCCCCAGCTGCGGCTGAGAGTCCAGCTCTGAGAACAGGCCTGGGGAGAACGGATCAGAAACATTAACCGAGCGTCCGGCCGAGTCGGAGGCGGCGCGGTGAGAATGGAGTCGCACCTGGAAAGGTGTTCATGCCCTCGAAGGGCAGCGTGAAGGTGAGCTCAGCGTCATGCTGCCTGCAGAGCGTCGCTTTGGGAACGTGCTGCTTCACCAGCGACGCCACCTTCTCTGCATCGCAGCCCTCAGCGATGGACATCCTGCAGAGGAGGAGAACGCACACGGGGCGGACTGAGGCTCGCTGCTCAGGCCTCACGCTGACCCCCCCACCACCCCACCTACCTGAGGTGATATCCAACGCCACACTTGATCTTCAGGTACAGAGACGAGCCGACGCACTTCAGCTGCCCCTGAGAGATCACAGCTTTACGATCTGAAATCAAACCACACATGTGACCTTTGACCTTTCAGGCTGGTCACTGGAAAACTTTTAATGGTTCACTTTTAATTAGGGTTGAAAAATTCATGTAATCATGTTTGAAAAATTACATCTGAACACAGAGACGCAACATCTGCAACTTTCTCCCTCCAGCCTCTAGGTGGCAGTAAAACGCTTCAGCTGGGTTTTCTGTGGGGATGTGAGACGAAGCCTCATTGAACCGTTTGTGCCACTGATTGCCTGAAAAAACTGAAGCCACCATCCGCCATGTTGGTACTCCCCACTCCCATGGAGACGCGCAGTAAAAGTCTCTACCTGTGGAGCATCTGGCTGCTAAAACAAGCCGACTGTAGGAAGACGTTCCACAGGTGATTTCACAGTCAGCACGAGCATGAGCATTTAAAGTGACGTTTGCCTTTCTTTGGTATTACAGCAACTTTTAAAGTGTCCAATTAGTATCGGTTTGTCCTTTTATGAGGTAAAAACTGCCAAATTAGATTGGTTGTTTTATCCAAAAGATTAGTTGAACACATTTAACTTCCAACCAGATTAAAACTATTAAAACTATGTGGAAAAACTATTATTTTTGAATAAAATTACTAAAACCTTTCATTTTGCATTTTCACTGTCTGCTTGAGCTTATTTCACTAAAATGCATGAAAACATTGAACATTTAAAGATTTTTCTCTTCTAAGACATGTAAATGGAACTTAAATAAAAAATAAAAACAATAAAAACAATGCAAACCTCACAGATGATATTGCTGACTGTAGTTCTGCATCAGTATGAAGCTCCAAGAAACTGTGAGGTTCAATGAAGCAATCACTGACCTCTAATTAATAACTGGATGGCTGATTGCCCGTCGGTAGAACCGAGTTCAACTGAAACTAAATGATCAACATGGATTGATGACGTTGCTATAGTAATCACATATTGCATATAATTTTAGGATTTTACATAAAGACTGAATTATAAGCACATGTAGTATTTTCTATTTGCAGATTATGCATGAATGATGCCATACACTGTTATACTGTGTCTGTTCATTAGCCTTTAAATAGAATAGAACTAAATTAAAGAAGCAGTTTAATAATAAATGCACAGAGCTTCAGTTTCTACACCAGCAAAATCACATCAATTGGTAAAAAAAAACAACATCAAGTTCATATTTTGCTTTTAAGCCTCTTAACATCCACCTCAGTTTGGGAAATTCTGGCCTATATATTCTGACATGCTGCTATAACTGTGTTATTGGTGCTTTAGTGCTCGCTGTGTGCATTAAATGAACGTGGAGAATCTAAGCTTTCCAACGATGTCTAACATGTTTATATTGGCTGAATTCTACTGAATACTAATAATAAAAGTGAAACCAGACGCAGATTCTGATCATTATATTGATTCATTATGTATTTAGCAACGATTTTATACAAAGCGACTTACAAAGAAGAAATGAGTGTGAAGGGTCTTGCTTAAGGAAACGCTGGCAGCTCATTATCACCCGAGTGGGGAGTGGGAACCAGAGCCTCCTGTGAGGGGGACTAACCTACTAGCCTTTAACTGATCTAACTGCAAATGTTTTAACCAACTAGACTGCTTCTTTCTACAGCCAATCTATTCTTAGAATCTATCCAACTGACTGCAGCTCTACTCCAAACTCCCCATTGACTGAATCCTGAGGCTGTTGGAGTTTACGAGTGAGCTGAAGCACTTCCTGAAGCGGTCGCGTGGTATAGTGGGGTGGCGAGGCTTCGGACATCATCGATTATGGCCCCTCCCCTTAATGAAGCAAGCCTCGATACGCGCTTCACGGAAACGCCCCCTCCATCATTATCCGCATCGAAGCCTCGTCTCATCTACTAACATCACTACCTCAGGGTCATGAAGGCGACCTGGAGGGTTCCTCACCTGGGTCACCTGGAACTACTTTGGTTCAAAGGAAGATCAACACCAGCAGGAACTAGAACCTAGTCACTAGAAACCAGTAAAACTGGACTCTACATTCGACCAGGACTGGTTTTCAAACTGGGAAGTTATTGTTTTGATTGGACATTTTCTACAGCAGGAACGTTTCTATGGAGACCAGAAGTAAACAGGAAGGAAATGATATAATGCTGATTTTCAGCCCCAGTCAGAGCAATGAAATCTTTTTGGGTCAATCATTTCTAACGGCTCTTTTTAATATTCAGTGTGTAAAATCTCTATTTTATGCAGAAGGTCATGTAATATAAGAGGAAAGGAGGGGTTTAAACTCTAGCTCAAGTTTCCAAAGGCCCAGACGGCGTCCAGCTTAATCAGGATGAAACCAGGATTCTAACATCAGCCTCTGATGGAAACATTTAAAGGATGAATAAACGCTCCTTTCTCTGCTTGTTCTGCCATATTTCCAACAATCAATTCCTTACATGCATTTTAATAAATGTTTATGTCTCAGAAAGAATCAAACAAGCCTGCTGAGCAGAGAAATGCTCCATCTTCCAGATCTCTGCATGCAGCATCTAACAGGCCTAGTTCTCACCAGCCAGGATGTCGGCCTCGTCCATGTAGTGCGTGGTGAGCACAATGACTCTGCCGGCCTGCCGGCTCTTCAGCAGCGACCACACCTGGTGTCTGGAGCAGGGGTCCATCCCTGCAGTGGGTTCATCCAGGAGCAAAATCTGACAAAGAGACACAAGAAATCCAACAATAACTGGAAGTTTTGGAAGAAACAGAATAATTAAAGGGTAACTCACCCTAAAACCAGCTTCTCTGCAGGAAGAACTGTATAAACCAGCCTGACAGCTGCTATATTAATACCTTTAACCTTAGTGCTGCCCTCTTGGGGTAAAATAGAGGCTACTGCAGTTTATTTTCCTATTGGTCCAAATGGTATGTTCTAGAACAGGCTGTTGAATGTTTACTTCCATTTTAACCAAGCATTTTTAATGTTTTTAGGTGTTTTTTAGGTAGAGATTAAGCTTTTTCTAT